CTCACATAATTCAAAACTTATAAACAAGCCCGAGCCTAATTATCTAATTTGAGGTCTGGTTAGGATTGGGTTTACTTAGGCCCAATTGTTGAAAAATATAGTCCATTTATTGTGTGGGCTTCCCCGTTTCCCTTATTTATTTTTCAGAAATACTTTGAGCAGGTCAGCTCAAACTTTAGACGAGTTAATTGTTCCAATGGTCACTCCATATCTTTCATTAGTTATTGAAATTTAAATATCGAGTTTTGGTTCGATTGCTCATTGACCTTTGGTACACGTTTTAAATTGCTCATTGAAGTCTAAAATGTCGAGTCTTGATCATTGAACTTTGAAATATGTTACATGTTACTCATTTGCATAACTATTAAATTTTGAAAAATATCGAGTTTAGAATGAATAATGTATAGCATTTTTCAAAGTTTAGTGAGCAATATACAATATTTTTCAAAATTCAATGAGTAATATATAATATTTTTTAAAATTTAGTGATCAAAACTCGACATTTTAAATTTCAATGAACAATTAAAAATATGAACCTATGTTCATTAATTAAAACTTGACATTTTAAATTTCAATAAGCAATCAAATATATGAATTTAAGTATAGACCGAACAATTAACTCACTTTAGACACACCTGTAAAGTTTGGTGCAACGACGTCGTCTGTTGGTAGAAGAATCCAGAAGCAGTTCTCATTCCTCTCATCATCTGAATATATACACCCAGTAGTCAGTTCATCTCTCTCAAAATCCATAAGTTTCTCCTGGAAGCCCTAATCGGAAACATAAACAAATCACTGCAATAAAATTGAAAACTACAATGGCGGAGCATTTAGCTTCGATATTTGGAACGGAGAAGGACAGGGTGAATTGCCCGTTCTACTTCAAGATCGGTGCGTGCCGCCATGGAGACCGCTGCTCTCGCCTCCACACCAAGCCCAGCATCAGCCCGACCCTATTGCTTACTAACATGTACCAGCGACCGGACATGATAACCCCAGGCGTCGACGCCCAGGGCCAGCCTATCGATCCCAAAGCCATGCAGGAACACTTCGAGGTTTGTCTTCTATTTTACCTTCTATATTTTCGTAAACCGTTGTTTAGTTATTGTTTCTGGATAATGTTATTTTCTTATATTGAATGAATAACATGTGATGTTCTTTAGGAGTAATTCGTGGTAATCGAGCTACACTTTTTAAATCTTTTCATTTTTCTTGGAGATAATTTCGTTGGAATTTGGTAAAATAAGATGGAAATTGGTAAAGTATAAAAAATTAAAGATGAATTTCGTGTCAACTTCGGTTGAACATTCGGATTTGATCGGATACTCTAAATATGAAAATAAATAGACTAATTTGTTCTATTTGTCGAGTNTGTCAACTTCGGTTGAACATTCGGATTTGATCGGATACTCTAAATATGAAAATAAATAGACTAATTTGTTCTATTTGTCGAGTAGATAATCATGATATATTTGGAATATTAAAATCAATTCCAGATACATGAGAAATTTCGGTCCAAAGATTTCTGGAAGCGAGAGAAAAAGGCCAAAAATCAAATAAGGTCGCTCGAGCATTAGGCTAGTGCCAAGTGGGCGACAAGCCAGTGTTAGGCGAGCGATGAAGGTTTTGCTAAAAAGGTGCCACTAACGCCCAAGCAAGAAGCCAGTGCTTGGCTAGCGTCAGTAAGGGACGTGTCCATTCTTGAATGCTACTGAATTTTGGGACGTATTTCTTCATTCACCACCTCTCCTCTTCTATAAATTAGGCCCCTTGGACATCATTTAGCCTTTTTGAAATGAAAATAGATGGAATAGTGTTGCTTCTTTTTAAAAATGAGTTGTTGAAAGAAAAGGAATAGTTTTCGATTTACGTGTAATATTATTTTATGCAAGATTGTGTGATTGAAAATATGAGAGAGAAAAATTAAATAGAATTTAATGGGGGCCAAACGGGGGCTTAAGCATCCCAATTCATATTCTTGAGTCTTGCATTAAAGTTCTTGCCCAAAATCTCTTCCAAACTTCGCATTCCAAATCTTCTTTTGTAGAGAGAATTCATTTAAGTTCATTGTTGCCATATACTTTGAAGCGCTTTTACTGTAAGGAAGTATTCAGTTGTATCTTGAAAGACAATTGTTGTTCCTCCATTAGCACCGTTGCGAGGCATATTTGTCTTGAGAAAAAGAGTGTTTTCTCTTGCCTCGGATCATTTCATGCCTTTCTTCTTCTTCATTTCTACTTTTGGTTTCTATCAATTTATTACTTTGTCTAACTTTCTTTTTGTGTTGTTGAACGTAGCCTTTTGTTATCCACATTCAAAACAAACCTTACTCTATCCCCAAATAAATTTATTGAATGTTATGGTCTGGTTTATATTTTATGTTGATCCGAGTTTTTATGTTTATAAAAATGACTATTTATACAGTCGCTCTTCATTTGTGATCCCAGCTGTTTCTTTTGGTGACCAAATATGCTTGGTTCTGTCATTTACTAATTGATGATGTTAATTTGCCAGTCACGGATAGAATTATTTGTTGCACGTGTGAATTACGTCTCTCTAATCCGCCCCAATCTGGGAGAGGGCATAGTGACTGGTGGACCTATTTGCTTTCTTTCGAGAAAAGGTCCCATCCTTCAATGTCATGATTAGGTCGACCAGGCCAGATCATGAGTCTTTGTTCTAACTTGGATAAATTGTCTGTACATTTTGTTATATGTTGCGGTCATCAGTCATAACAAAGCTCTAAACTATGGTGAAGTAGTTTATTTTCCTTTTTATCTTCTAGTGCTATCTGGATTTGGAAATTTTAAGGTTCTAGTAGATATTAATTAGAAGAGATGTATATCTCTAAGTTTCAGAGAACAATGATCTTGTAATGATGTATAGGCTTTAGAAGAACTACATTGTGCTGCACATGCATGAATTGCAATCTGATTTCAATCAATATTTGTGTTACTAAGGTTCTGTTTGGTACCCCTTTTTTTCAAAATGCATTTTTTTCCTCTTCTTTTCAACCACACATTCTTATTAAAATAATATTACACGTAAATCAAATTTTTTTTCTTATTTTTCAACTACACATTTCCCCTCAATTTACTATTCAAAAATGCATTTTTACATAAAAATGTCTTCGAAACACCCTCTAAAATTTGAAGTCATTAGTCATAACAAAGCTCTAAACGATGGTGACGTAATTTATTTTCCTTTTTATCTTCTAATGCTATCTGGATTTGGAAATTTTGAAAGTTGTAGTAGATATTAATTAGAAGAGACGTATATCTCTAAGTTCGTGAGAACAATGATCTTCTAATGATATTTAGGCTTGAGAAGAACTACATTGTGCTCTACATACGTGAATTGCAATCTGATGTCAATCAATATGTGTATTACTAAAATTTGGAATATTTGTTCTGTTTTTTAGGGTTTCTCAAATCCTTGTTCATTTTCTGTTCCCTTTTATCTTGTTGCTTGTGCTTTGTAAGTCCAATATCCAATCAGGTCTTTGAAACTATTTAGGTTATTATTAATTGTATTAGATACAATACGATGCCTTTTTGTATGGATGAATTTATTTTTAACATAGAGTATTATGTATGTTTTGCAAACATTTTATGCTTTATTTGTTTTTGCAGGATTTTTATGAAGATCTCTTCGAGGAGCTGAGCAAGTATGGAGATATTGAAAGCTTGAATGTTTGTGACAACCTGGCTGACCACATGGTAATTTTCCTATTTTGTTCGTTTGAATTAGTATCTGATTGTTTAAGATCTAATTGATATTCATATCATGAATTTTTTGGCAGGTTGGCAATGTTTATGTACAGTTTAGAGAGGAAGAGCATGCTGCAAATGCTTTGAAAAATCTGACTGGAAGATTTTATGCTGGTAATGAATTTCCTCTTCCTATTTCTTTCTGTTGAGCTCTCTGATAGTTATTATCTCAGCCTGTTGCCCACTTCGGCAATGTAGAACTAAAGCTCTTTGTTATCTCTTATTGAGCACATTATGATAAGTCAATAATCCCTGCAGGACGACCCATCATTGTTGATTTCTCTCCTGTGACTGATTTTCGTGAAGCCACCTGTAGGCAGTATGAGGAAAACACCTGCAATCGTGGTGGGTACTGCAACTTTATGCATCTGAAAAGGATTGGCAGGTAAAGTTGTGATTTTCTTTGTTATGGATGGTAGAGGAGTAAGAAACTTACTTTTGTTATGGTAGACGGAGTAGGAGACATACTTCTTTTTGGCAAAGTGTTGAAAATTTTTCTGTTTCTGTTCTAATTTGTAGGGAGTTAAGACACCAGTTGTATGGAAGATTGCGGAGACGGCACAGTCGAAGCCGAAGTAGAAGTCCCTACAGGCACCGCAGCTATGAAGATCGCTCTCATGGAAGTCGCAGTCGCAGTAGAAGGTATGATGATGACTGGGATTACCACGAAAGTCGGAGAAAGAGGCACAGAAGCTCAAGTCCTAGTCGTAGGAGGGGTAGGAGCAGGAGCCCAGGTGGCAAGAGGTATCATAGTCCTGTTAGGGAAGGAAGTGAAGAGAGGCGAGCCAAAATTGAGCAATGGAATCGGGAGAGGGAAGAGGCAGCACGTTCTAACAATCCCAATACTGGTGTCGTTGATGGTAAAAATGAGAAAGACAATAATGGGTACATGCATAACGGAAATCAGCACGATAGCGAGAAAGCACCACAGCAGAGTAGATATGGGTATTGATGATGTCAGCACTGGTTCGTCCTCCATCTCCTGAAACTACATTATGATTTTCTTCTTAATGAACAAGTTCTATTTTGAGGAAGGCCCACCATCCTTTGAATCTGGCTCACTGCGCATTTTCCACTGTGCAGGTGGTGTGCAGGTTTACAATTCTGTCATATGGAAAATGAGAAAAAAATTCTGCCCTTTTATGTTTCTCTAACTTCTTTTTGACATGTTCTGTCTGCTTGGGTGCATGGCATGCTTTAGAACTTTTCTTTACTAGTCATTGTTTTCCTGAGATTCCATACACTACTTTAACTTGTACATTTATGGGCTCTCAAATTAGTAACCAATTTGTCCATCCCTTGCACTTCCTTTTTTTTTCCCCCAATCTTCTGTCCTTAGCCATGCCACTCGTACCCAATGGCAATTGACATTTAACTCATGTTTTGCAAATCTTAAATCATAATTTCAGTTGGTTAAATATATTTTTTATCCATGCATTTAGCAGGACTCACATCTGTTGTCCACTAATTATCTCCATTAGAACCTACAACTTATAATCACTTAAATTTAATTTAAGCACTCCCAAACATGTAATTACATTTATATGGAGAACAAGGTTCAGGTTGGAACCTTAAAACGGTTCACTTGAGCTAACAGAGTTCTATTAACGTTGCACAACCACCTAGCTCTTGCACTTGCACTTTAGGATTTGCCTTCGAGAGTTATTTCCTTCTCTCATTTTTAAATTGCTTCATTACCATTTATAATAGTTAACCTCATGTCTATCTGAACACCAAAAAAGCCTTTTTCTTAGTAAATATGGAGTTAGCTGCATGAATCTATTTTGGCTATTCCACTTTGTTTATTGCTAGATCTTCCAAAAGATCTAAAGCAACTACCACTTTATCAATTACAACACCACCTTGTTAATTTTGTTCTACCTCTCCACTCGGAAGTGAAGTCTCTTAAAATTGATGCTAAACATGATAAGCACCTAGTCCATTCTTGTAGTTATGCCGTGTCTAGAATTTATTTTTAATGTTAATTATTTTGCACAAAGAATTTGAAATGTTGTGTGTTTTCCAAATCTTTGTAATTTGGATGGTTGCAAGATATTTTCTTCATCAAATTTAAAGGAATATTTGTGACACATGGAATTTAGAATTCTTGGTGACAGTGTATACTTTTTCCTTGGTTATATCTATATTTGGTAATCCTGTTGATGGCATTGATCTCAGGAAGTTTTCCTTAAGTTCCCTCATTAACTGCAAAAATATTACGTCTTTTTAGTAGCATGTAACTGGCCAATTTAACTTTACCCTTGACATGACATCTGTAGTGGTCTGCACGACCCCCATTAACCATATCTACATTTAAGCGAATTTCAGCTGCATGAATCTATTTTGGCTATTCCACTTTGTTTATTGCTAGATCTTCCGAAAGATCTAAAGCAACTACCACTTTATCAATTACAACACCACCTTGTTAATTTTGTTCTACCTCTCCACTCGGAAGTGAAGTCTCTTAAAATTGATGCTAAACATGATAAGCACCTAGTCCATTCTTGTAGTTATGCCGTGTCTAGAATTTATTTTTAATGTTAATTATTTTGCACAAAGAATTTGAAATGTTGTGTATTTTCCAAATCTTTGTAATTTGGATGGTTGCAAGATATTTTCTTCATCAAATTTAAAGGAATATTTGTGACACATGGAATTTAGAATTCTTGGTGACAGTGTATACTTTTTCCTTGGTTATATCTATATTTGGTAATCCTGTTGATGGCATTGATCTCAGGAAGTTTTCCTTAAGTTCCCTCATTAACTGCAAAAATATTACGTCTTTTTAGTAGCATGTAACTGGCCAATTTAACTTTACCCTTGACATGACATCTGTAGTGGTCTGCACGACCCCCATTAACCATATCTACATTTAAGCAAACTTGTGTTAGAAAACAAGTTACAACATAGGCCTAAAATGTTTTTCTTACATCTGCTAGCTTGTGCTTGTGTGATTTTACGAATTCAGGTATCCTGTAACCACCACATATCCAGGCTAGTTTGCTTTCACTTATCTTCGATTTAGTTTTCTTTTTCTGGAATATAAGTTACGGATCTCATGTGTGATGAGTTTTGCAGGTCCAGGTTCCTGCTTATAAGGACCAGAACTTATTTTAATCATAGCTTGCCGTGGTGTGTACAGGTGCTGTGGTGCCAAGTCAGGGAGTTTGATCTGGCAGGAATTTGCAGGGTGAAGAAAAGTGAAGAAGTCCAGTGGTGCCTGAGATCCTATTTCTCAGAATCATTTACTTTTCTTTCTTTTCTTTTTGTTTTTCCCCCTTCACAGATATGCAGGTTTGATCTCGCAAAGTTGTCTTTTCACTTTGCAGAGAATTTCACATTGTGTGTGTGTGTAGTGTGTCTTTGCATTCGGTATCTTGGTCAAACAGATTTGTAGCTCGACAATTTTGTTGGCTCTTATCGACTATTTTATTTTTCTGGGATATCATGGTAGTTAATTGTGTTTTCTATGGTATGGATCGATATGGCTCTGAGTTGCAGTCGCATGGAAGGGATGAATATGGTGAGTTATAATGATGAGGGGGATGGAGAAAGAATAGGAATAGGGAATTTCCGAGTCATTAGGGGATTCTGGTGGAGTATTTTAGGATGGATTGGAGCATCTCTATAAGTTGCTCTAATATATTTGTACATTAAAGGTTTAATTTTTCAAGTACCCTTGGAGACCACAGACCGATTCGCGCTGTTTTGCCAAAAAACCAAGTCACCTAGCTGAAGGCTTGTCCAACCCAAGCCTATGTTGTCAACCTTACAGATAGTGCGTGACCTGTCTATTCTATCAAAGGATTCATGTGACGTATAATGGCAACGAGCTAAATGTGCGATCATGAGTTGAAAATTTAGAAACATTATAGCTATAATCCTACTATCTGCAAATTATGAGTATGATCGGCAAGGTGCTCGTGGTGGAGCAGCTGTATTTTGTTCTTATAAAATGTGTGAATAAAAAGTGATTTAATCAAAAGTGTGTGGAAGTTTATAATCTATAATGTATTAAATATTGAGAATCATTTGTAATTATAATTATAATATATTAAATATTACATCAAATAAAAATCATTTTCTTGACATCCTAATCGATTCAATTATTTTAATATTATTTTACTTCTTGTTTTTAATATGTATTTATTTTAACCATTTAGTTATCATCAATGCATACATTAAAGAATGTATTTCATTATTTACATCTATGTATGTTAATTAATGTCATGTTTTATTTAATTGAAAATTAAATAAAATGATTTGACATCCATTGGCACTTATACATTCCCTGAAATAAGTTAGAATTTAATGAAAATTCATGCATATTTAAATATTATTTTTAGTATATTTATAAATCCTTTCATAATAACATGCAATGCACGATTAATATTCTCTAGTATGTATGAAACAATGAGCCAAATATAGGTGCGAACGGCATCGTATGTATATAAAAAAATTCTTAAACTATTTATTTATTCCACTTGAATATTAAACCTTTGGCTATATTAATAATATTTCGGGAAAACTTCTAAAATCACCTTTTAAGTGTATTTGCACCATAAATTTATCGAATTCCCTATATTCTTTTATCTTATTGTAGGGATATTTAATTCCCGAAATTGAGCAAAGCCTAATTTAGTTTACATAAAAACATTGAAAAGAATAATAATTTTACATTTTATTTAGCTTATTATTTAACACGAGCTAGACTGAGATTGTAATCCTAGTGGGACTATATAGTATCAGTGTTATTACACAGCTGCGAAAATCATCGAACCAAACCTAGATCCAGTCCGAATCATATATATTTATTGGTGGATGAATAACCAAACTCAAACCCTTTGAACCACTGATTTTTTTAGTTAACCCGCCAACCCATTTTTTGTTGAAAAGACTGGTTCTTGTTCTTTGTTTAAAACACTGATTTGTTCTCCACTTCAAAAAGTTGATTGTTTTTTAAATAGACAAATAATTAAGTGCAATGTGGCATTATGAGCACCTCAATATATATGCTTATATACCCGTAACACTACTCCTATTGTAAAATCAAAAACCTTTGTCATTGTCTCCCAGTCTCCTTGCAATTCAAACACTCCAAAATTTCCAATTTCAAGTTTTAAGGGATGGAAGAACAAGTAAATTTGAATATTTTATATATATATATTTTTTTGGGTGCCTTTTTCACCTTTTGGACTTGTTCTTTGTGTAAGGCAATTGCCCAGAATTAGAACTAAAGAATGGACTTTTTTTTTGGGGTAATTAACATATTATTGGGGTTTGGATCTTAAATTAAAGAATAGAAGTTTGACGAGTAGTCTTCTCATGAAATAAAAGTGTGAAAATATTTCTGGACGAGAATGTGAACACAGAGGAGTTTTAATTGAGAAAATGTATAGAGAATGGCAATGGGTTTTTGATATGTATACCTATGCACACAATTTTCTAGGGTGGTGATTTTATTTATTTATTTTTATTTTTATTTTTGTCATTGATTGTTGTGTTTTATTGTTTCAAATGCATATTTCATCTAAAATTTATGAAATTTTGGCTACATGTTGATCTTTATTTAACAAAATAACATGAGATTAATTTAGTTATTGATAGAAAACATCAAAATTTTATTATTTAATGAAAATAATTAATAATATATCTAACGTCATTTGATCTGTCAGTTGAACCACCAACTCATTGACCCACAGTATCGTTCGGGTCAATGTATGGTTCGGATATGATAATTATGCATAACATTATTCTACTGAAAATGATGTAATAAAGGGGAGAAATCAAAAAGAGGGAAAAATTGAGGTTAAATATACTTAGTCCGTGTTTAGTTCAACTAAAAATATTTAAGTTAAGTCAAATTAATTTTAATTGTGCTATTCATTAGATTAATATCTTTCGAACTATATATTTCATCAATTTTTATTAAATTCTATTAAAAAAATGATTTTTATAAAAATGGAAGGATACTCAACTCAAAAACCTTAGTCCGACAAAAAAACAGAGAAATAAATGAATAATTAGTAATTCCACCAAAGCACACCCGTCTATCATTAATTTTTGAAATCTAGTTAATTGTTTCAATGGTCACTGAACTTAAGATCATATAATTGATTGGTCGATGAAATTTAAAATGTCCAGTTTTAGTCACTGAAATTTAAAATATCGAATTTTGACCATTAAATTTTGAAAAATATTATACATTACTCATTGTAAACGTGATATTTTTCAAAATTTAATATTTATGCTAGTGAATAACGTAAGACAATTTCTAAAATTCAATGGCCAAAATTTAATATTTTAATTTTTCAGTGAGTTGTGAGCAATCAAAAACATGAATATAAATTTATTGATCAAAATTCGATATTTTAAACTCCACTTACCAATCAATGACATAGTCGTAAGTTCAGTTATATTGGAACAATTAATTCTATTGAAATCGGTCTCCTCTCTCAAACTCTTCACGCTTCTTCACCGAATCTCTATTCTGCTCTCGGGTATTTTGCACATTAAGCACGTATATGTATTAATCCGTACGTAAAGAGATGTATTTGCATTATATGTATGCCAAATGATTCGGAGCCTGTTATTAGGTTTATTTATTTATTTATTTTTGTATATATCTACATCCATTCGTGTATGATTTTGTATGTTCATTGTATAATTGGTTGTCTTAATCCTCGATAGTTTGGATTTTTGACGAGTTTTGTTTATGCTCTAATTGTTGTTGCTCGAAACGATACAAAAAGTCAAAAACTTTTGAGTACTTGAATTTTGTTTAAAGTTATGCCGATTCAGCTGCAATTGAGAAAGACTTCTCGAGCTAGTTATGTAAAGATATCATTTTGATTGAAAATTAACGCCTTTGTTTATTGGAAGCTTTTGGTTTATTTCTAGTACGGATTGAGTCAATCATCCACTTTGGGATCTTATTGAACAAAAGGGTGATGTTAATCAAAATTTTTTATTTAGATGAATATTTACAGTGTAGTGATGACTCTAATGTTAATTGAGACATGTTTCGTGTCAGAATTTCTGTTTCCTGCTGGGATTTTTAAGTCTTTTGTATAGAATACTTTGTTGGCATGTTGAAACTGACATTTTAATATGTTTCTCCAAATTTGGTGATAGCTGGGGTAAGAAGGTATATGTATTATTAGCTGAAGAGGAAAATTGGTGAAGATTTGAATCTGGAGTCATAAATATGTATCGGCCTGGGGCTGCAACCACTACCCGAGGTGGATTACCGACAGACAATGGAGATTCTGTTGTGACACTTGATCAAGTTCCACGTTGGTGTGATGCAGA